AAAAAAATAATATTATCAACCCTAAGGAAATGTAGTACACTATGACCTTTCTGTACAACATGTTTAATAGACAAGTCAATAGATTTTCTTTCATTAAGAACTCTTCGGCTGAATTTTCCAAGTTTTCCTTCTTGGGTTTCATTATGATAAACAATTAAAACGTAGGAAATTGAAAATCTATTGATTTTTTCATTAAATATCTTCTATAGGAATAGGAGGAGAAACATTAAAATACCATTAAAATTCTAATAGAATTCCAATAGAAACTTGAAAGAATTTCTGTTGGTTTTTCTATTAATTTTTTTACACACATGATTAATAATGCTTTTGATATATTTATTGAAAGCATGACGATTGTATGTGCCATCAAATTACATGTCTCGGTACTTATGTCAAAATTCTCACAAAGTGTAAACGTGATTGCTCCGAATTCGATAGTAGATTTTCGTTACATGTTACGTATGGGTGTCCCCCTGAGTGTGGAATCCGCTAGGAAATTAATTCGTTCTTTCAGATGACTTACACTATCTGGCAAAAAAGGACTTTTCAGTTAACGGAACACCCTGGAGGGGCAGAGGAAGACCTAAAAAAATAAAAAAACCTAACGACTTTGATACATCGTTACTCTCAGCGGCGGTCCTGAGTGATGACGATAATGTAGTGACCCCCAGGACTCCAACTTATCCTGTAATCGAAGATTCAGACAGTGGGCTTCAAAACAGTCGAGAGCAAAGTGTGATAATCAGAAAAAAGCGGGAGGGCATTGGGAAAATTCCATTCAATGGTGATACAAGGAAATCTAGCAGAGTAAGCCCAACAATTGATGATACCAAAACTCCACTTACATCAAGGAAACGCCCGGCTCGAGTTCAGGATGTCGATGAGACGGACACGGCTGATGACACCGATGTTGAAGACTCTGATGAGGATGGAAGTGAGAAAGAAGAAAGTGTAAAGCTCGATGACGAAGAACAAGCAGAGGACACCGATCATATCGATTCAGCAGAAACCTCAGCAGCATCAACCCCGATTAACGAAAATAGTGAAGATGATGAAGATGATGATATTGAGGACACTACGCTAAGAAATTCTCGAAGACGTGAGGGACTGAATTCGTCAGTCCCTAGAAATGCAACAGCTCCAGCTCGGCCTACAAAGGATGCAGACGTGATAAAGACATGCGGAGGAGCTCTAGATTATCGAAAGTCAGTAAAGTCAGTTACTCAGAAGAACACAGTTCCATCTCAACATCCCAAGGACGCAGGAGCAATAAGGACAAATGAGAAAGTCCAAGCTCACGATGAGTTGATAAACCTTAAGCGATCAGCAAGCATAAGTCACATTTATACTCTATCGGATGGAGAAACTGATGATGAAAATGGTAAGCTCATTTTTCCTACCATTCTTCGATCTTTCAAATCTTTTTCAAATTTTCTAAGTTTTTTTAAACAATTTTTAACCCTTGAAAATTTTTGATTTTCAACGATTTATGGCCCTCAACAATTTTTAACCCTTAATCATTTTCGACACATTCTACCCATTATGGATTGGTGATCCAGCGGCTAATTTTCATTTGTCTTCTCAATTTTGTCACTGCCAAATATACTCATCTTAAAATATTTCCAGAAATTCCAAGGACGACCAAATCTAAACGTAACTTGCTCAGAGATGAAAAGGAGGATAATTTGCTGCCTCCGGCCCGAAGACGTGGACATGAAGTATGTTAGAGAAAAAAAAAGAAACTGACAAAAACTGAACATTGTGTAACTTTTTTATAGATTGAAATTTATCCAAATACTGAAGTGTTCGTGAAGAAGAGATTATTCAGGCATGCCCTCCTGAACAGTGGGAATAAGCCCGGTGATTTTGTGTGTTTACTGATACGGTTCCTCCTTGGCGAAAAATTGAAGGCTATGACAGTACAGGGTGGGAAGAATAAAGACGCGATTCCGAAGTCCGTGTATAATGCTGTGAGATGTAAGTCCAGATGACATTGACGATGAGAAGAGGCCGGTTGTCGATATGAAATTATGTAGAATGGCGTTCATTTTGAGTAAAATATCATATTGATAGAGGCCGTCAGCGGTCTAAATTTATAGCGCTCTAATCTCACAGTTTCACTACCGAGCGGTAGTCTCGTCAAAGGGACGACTGTACCAGGACAGGTTTTTCCCTCAAGTGGGGTTTTCCCTTGTCCCTCGGAAAATGCGTCACAGGGGGTGAAAAATGGGATGGAAACCAATCGGAAAAACCCAAAAGGTTATACGAAAGGAAAAATTTTTTTTCACATATTGATATAGTAAAAAATCAAATTGCTGAAGGCGAGGGGAAAAATATGAGTCGTTTAGATGGGGGTCATGAAAAGTTAGATAAAGATAAGTTAGATCTCTTCTATGTCTAGGGGCAGTCAACAGTCTGGTCCAGAAGGACGATCGATTGGATGAGAAGGATTACAAACGGATTGTCACACAGTTGTGTACAAGAAGTCGATCGAAGAATTTGAAAGAGAAACCCTTAGAAGAGTCAAATAACGGTTTACAACATGCAGGTGTTAATGAAGAACGCACAAATAAGAACTCGGAACCTTCCGAAAGAGCTCAGAAGTCCACTTCACACATGCAAAGGGGTTCGCATTCGGATCAACCGACGATTCCTCCTAAAACAGCTCAGACATCGGAAGTGCAGATACCATACCAGAAGTGCAAAAACCCTTTTTGGAATAAAAAAAAAAGATTGATGCTGCAATGAAAAATATGAACCCAGGCGTTGAGGTCGGTTGCTCGTCATAGGTAGCACTTACAACTGCCATCAATCATGACATTCACACATGATAAAATGAAATTTTTGCTTCCGAAGGGAAGCATTGTAATCCTCCAAATTCAAGTTTTCAGGTTTCTTTGTGAAGATGACTACTTTGGGGGTCAAGAATCAGAATCTGATGTTTTTAGACCCTTTCGGTATATGTGACCAATTCAGTTTTTAGTACGCTTAAAAGTTCCCAGCTTTCTTCTGAACAATGCCTAATTTATGGCCTGCTTATCAATTTTTGACCCTCAACAATTTTTGACTCTCGAACATGTTTGACCCTCAACCATTTTTTACTCTGGACCATTTTTTACTTACATTTTTGATTTATGGCGCTCGACAAGTTTGATCCTCAACAATTTTTCACGCTCAACCATTTTTTGCCCTCGGGAATTTTCGATTTTTGACCATTTTTTTCCCTCAACGATTTTTGGCTCTCAAAAATTCTCGAATGGTGACCATTTTTGACCCTCAACGATTTATGGCCCATGACCATTTTTAATCCTTGACCATTTTCGATACTTAACAATTTTTGACACTTGAACATTTTTGATTCTCAGCCACTTTTGACCTTTACTATCTTCTGATCCTCAACAATTTTTTCCCCGCCACACTTTTTGACCTTTGACAATTTTTGACTCTCAGTTATTTTTGACACTTGACCATTTTATATCTTCAACCACTTTTGGCTCTCACCATCCTTTAAGCTTTAATCATTTTTGACCCTTGAAAATAGATCTTCACCAATTTTTGACCTTTAACAATTTCTAATTTATGAATATTTTCGATCCTCAACTATTGTTGTCCTCAACTATTTTTGACCACTCTAAATTTTTTTCCTTCACCATCTTTTGACCCGAAACCATTCCATCCTTATTTCCATCCATCCATTCTATAGAAGAGTCATATAGAAATCTTATGAGAATGGTATATATGATCAATTAATGCGAAAGTACAATGAGAAGGCAACGTCCCTTCGGAAGCATATTGCTAATTCATTAGCGAAAACATATTTGACACAATCAAAAGCAATTGTCCACTTGTTCATTGTTGTTACTCTGCTGATTCGCTTCCTCGGTTTACTGATTATTTGCAAATATCTTTATTGTACATTTCAGCTTCATTTAAGGAACGGAAGAAATTCAAATAGAGATCCCACCTAAAATTAATCCCATCGATCCAGGCGTGTTAAGAGCCCTTCACTGTGCGCCCTGGAACTCCTGCTCTTCGTGGAGGTCATTGATGTTTCGTGTTTGGGAGACTTCCAATTTGTGGAATTTCGGAGTGTTCGGGTGTAAACGTTCAAGATATTCAAAGTTATTTACTTTATTATCTGAAAATCTTTAGAAGAAAAATTCTAAAATTAAGAGTGTGAGCGTTGGAAAAAGTTGTCATTGTGGGGCTGAAAATTTTGGAGTTGACCTAACCTGATTCAAACCCTTAGAAAAAAATTTCAGGTGACGAAAATTCGAGGTGGGGAAATTTGAATCTGGAAAAATTCGAATGGGGAAAAATTTTGAACTGGGGAAAATCCGAATAGGAATAACCCCCCCCCATATATATGGGCACCGCCCCATATATTGTGACTTTCTCAAGTGTAATTAGTGACTTTATTGACAATTAAAAGTTGACTTTTTGTCATCAACGCCACGCGAGTGTTTTTTTGATCCTCTCCACACTCTCCCGTAATCCACTTAAATCTCGTCCATCGATTAAAAATATCCCTCAAACCAAATCCCGCTTCGAACAAATCGATTGTGAATTACGACATATTTCGTGTCACCAATGATCTGTTTCATTGGTACTATTCCAAAATAGTCAACATTTTTAAAAAAAGGGGTTTGTCCTGTAACGACATTTTTCTTTCATGGTACGTGTGCCACGCCAATAGAAAAAAATGCAATTTTAGTTACTAACAAGCAAAAGAGTAAACAGATCCCTGGATGTGTTTGTTTGTTACTGCTCTCACTAATTCTTAGACGTCATTAAAAACCCTTCGATCGGCTGAATTCAAGCGATTTTCATGTTCGAGCAATAAATGAGGGGTACAATGGGAATAATCAATTTCTGGTTGAAGGGCAAGAAAACAAACCAATCAAAAATAGGTATAAATATAGAGAACTTAAAATATTACTTGTCATGATTGAGGCGAATCGAATATTCTTACTAAAAAATACTTCGAGACAATTGGTAAGTAGTGCATAGGAATAGCAATCGGATCGCAATTTTAATCTATAAGCAAATTACAGACTTATAATTTTCAAGTGATTAGCGTAATATTTCGATTGAAAATTAAATTCATATCATTGTTAAGAAATTCGAGATGTCAATAGTATGCTTTATCAAAATTAAAAATAAATACGATGACAGGTTTTTCGTGTGATTGAACCTTTGCACTTGGGGCATTTTTTTTGAGTAGCGAGGGTAGCTATTAGGCACTCTTCACAAAATATGTGTCCACACTTTGTTGACATAGGTTTACGGGATGCTCTAAGGTCCTCATAACAGACGGGACAGGTAAGAACTGTCGGAGAGCTCTCAACCGAGTCGTTTATTTGGGGTATTAATTGATTGGCATCCTCATCCGAAATTGTATTATCTAAGTCGATAATAGAATTTTCTTCTGTAACTATTGTTGTAGTCCTTGAAGTTGGTGATCTTTTTGGTCTGCCGAGACGTCGTGGTACTGGAGCTTCCCTGTAATTGATAATCGAAATAAATATAAAATAAGCAGTAATGTGAAAGAAGCGACAAATTTCATTCAACGGTTTTTCCTTCTGTATGAGAGTAATGTATTTGATGAAATTTCACTTTTTCGACATTCTCCCGAAATAGTGTAGTATTCCATGGATTATAAAAATATGATGTAAAATCGTGACCAGACTCATTTCCCGCGTCAAAATTCGCGCGACTTAATTTTCATGCAGTCATTTCTGCTTTCAAAGATTCTTCTGTAACAAAATTTCTATGAGCAAAATTGTTCTGTGACCAAATTCCCAAGAAAAAAATTGCGTTACTAAATTTTCGTTAACAATTTCTAGTGACGAAAATTCGAAGGATATGCCGATAGGATTCAAAAGATAGGCAGAACAGTATTGATTGTCGGTGAACTGAAGTGGCTATATTTTGTTTTGGTATTGCTGTTACTCTATTTGAACGTATTTAAGTATATTGTCCAACACGTCTTCAGTTCATACCTGGTGGTGGAACGATAATGCGATTGAAGTTTATTGAATCTGCAAAAGGTGGCAACCTTCTGGTTTTGGATAATTTTGTGTATTACTTGCCAAATGTACTGGTAACGTACACCGACTGAGAAAGATGGTGATTGCTTTTCTAGTATTTTTTGTATCAAGTTGTCGTGAAAATACCCTGCTGAGTCTTTGTCATAGGAATTTTGTTATGCGATTATTATTGTCGATGTTATTATTGTTATGGTAAATTTTTTGCGGTTTTTGTATTATGGGAATTTTGACGTCGGAAATAAATCGGAAACTGCAGAAATATCATGTAAAACAATTTCCAAATATGATGTATATGGACATGTCTATATACGGATAGTGAGTCGAAGATACCCTCTGGTTCTTTTTTTGTTGACAAATTGAAATTTTATTAAACAAATGGGGGGAAAAGTGTTGTGCAAATGATGGCACAACCGACGTAAAATAGTGTAAAACATCGAAATTGATTGTTTCTCAGAACATTTTTTATTCATCGTCTTCATTTTTGTGAAGAAATGCAAAATCTGTTAAACAATTAGGAGAAAAATCGTCTTGGAAATTCATGGTCAGGCGATTGAGATTCGCCTGAAACTTCCAAATTTGTTGATTCCTTATGGAACCTTGTTTTTAAAATGGCATCATCTTAACAAATTAAACAATCGGTAAATAATTACGGGAAAATTGTGTCACATTAAATTTCAATTTAAATTAGGCCCAACTGACTGAGAACAGTGTCGAAAATCGAGATTTGTGGGTCCCTTGGAGGTATAAAATTCAACCCTATTATTCCAAAGTCATTACCCGATTTCCAAGACTGACCGGCAGGGGCAACAGAAAGGTCTCTACACGTATATTTAATAATTATGTAATTATGTAATTATGTAGAATTTTATAGGTGCAGATCGACTCAGAATCACGCCTGAAAAATGGGGTTGAATTTGATAGCTAGAGATCGATTCAGAATCACCCCTGAGTCGATCTGTACCTGTCAAATTCACCCCCATTTTTCAAACCATCACTACCCCATCCCCAACCTGGTCGGAGGGAGGTAAAAAAAATGTCTCCATAGACATTAATCCATTCAAGCGATGATTAGACGCAGTGGCGAGGCCAAATGCGTGCATTAGAGAGAAATGAGAATGGGAGGTTTAACTCAGTGCAGTAGAAAAAATTAGGGATCGCAGATAGAATGAACGTAGCACGTTGAAATGGGGGTTGACGACTGGATGAAATGGGGGTGATGGTGGAATGAATGCATGCAAGAAACTGAGTGGTTGAAGGTGGACTGAGTGTGTCAGGACAAAATGGGGATTGATGATGGGCTCACTGCATGGGGGAAACTAAGAGGTTGAGGGTGAAATGAATGCATTGGGAAAAAATGAGGGGTTGAGGGTCAGATGAGTGTGTCAGGGTCTAGTGCGGGGTGATGGTGGAGTGAGGACATAGGGGAAAAAAGGAGTTGAGGGTCGCTGACTGTGTCAGTGTCAAATAGGGATTGGTGGTGGGGTGAGCACATGGGAGAAACTGAGGGTTTGAAGATGAGATATTCGTTTACAAAAAATTGGATTTTGAGGGTGGGATGAGCAGAGTGAAGTGTCAGGGTGAAGTGGTGGTTGATGCAGGAATGAATGCATGAGAAAAATGATGGGTGACGATCGGATGAGTGAATCAGGGTGAATGGTGGTTGGAGGAGCGTTAAGTACATGAGGAAAAATGAGAATCTGAGAATCGTTACTGTAGGTGGAAAAACAGGGTCGAAAATGATAGGTACAGATCGGCTCAGAATCATCTCCAGAGTCGATTTACCCACATCTGTAAATGTATTTTTTTACTCCTTTTGCCACCTTGAAAAAGGGCTGGTGAGGGTGGAAATATATATATACATATGATAGGCACAAATCGATGGAAAATCATCCCCTGAATCGATTTACATACACTTGTAGTAATAGTTTTTTTTAGCTGGTCGGCCATTTTGGAAATGGCTTAATGGGGGTGAAAAATGAGGGTCGAAAGTGATAGGCACAAATCGATTGAGAATCATCCCCTGAATCAATTTACACATACATGTAGAAATCTTTTTGTTAACCCCGGCGGCAATCTTAGAAATGGGTTAGTGAGGGTGTAAAATATTGCTACACAAAATATTATCGGACAAAATATTACTAGACAAAATATTGCTGGACATCATAGACTAAATACTACCGGAAAAAATCTCGAACGTCCCTCAACGTGCTCTATAAACGAGACGACAGGGACAAGATTGAGCGCCAATCGGGTGCGTCCACAGGTGGCGGATAGAGGAACGGCCGACGGAGAAGTGGGGCAGGTTAAGGGCTGGAAACATAGAGATATGGGACTGGCCATATACTCGCCTGCCCTGCCGAATTGACGGTTAGTGTGAGCTATAAGGGAATTGAAGGGCCTAAAAACCTGGAAGGAACCGAAGGCTGCGCCGCAGACCAACTCCCCAAGCCAAGGTGGAAGTGATTCGTGCCGAAGGCTGAATGGCACTGGGGTTACAGTGTTGCTAACGAGACCGTTGGGGCACCAGGCCGCACCCCACCGTACTTAGGCCTTACCCCAGCATCCCGGCTCTGCTGGGGCCGACCTTTACTTCCGAGGATACTCGTGGGAACTATATGGACTCTCCCATTAATATTAATTTCACCAACGCCAAGGACAGGGCCCTCACAGAGGGAACGTCTGAGGCTTTACAGATCGTCCAGGCCGTCACAGTCTCTGATGCTCCGACGGGGGCACAGGACACAATGGAAGTGGAGACGCTGAAGGTGACTCCTCTTACGGAGGAAGTCGCCAAAGGCGGACCCACAGACCCAAAAAAAACGGAAAGGTCGCACAGGTGCGGAGAAGCGCAGGGCCCGCAAGGCCAGAATGGCAACAGAGGACTTGCGGGAACAGTGCTCTCCCACCAAATCGGGGACAGCCAGAGGCGGAGAGGAACGGGGAAATGGGTCCAAAAGACCCAGATCTGATGGAGCCACTCCGCCTGAAGAGGCTGCGACCCGAAAAAAGCAAAGGGTGAGGGCTGGCCTTGGAGCCACCTCGTTTGGGATGGCGGCGAGGGGTGGCGGCAGGGTAGCAATTATACCAAGCGGCTACCCTGAGCCATCCCTGACTGAGGCACAGGCCAACCTCGTCCAGGAGAAGTTGGAGGAACTCATCTTCGGGGGTGATGTCGGGGGCGCGGTACCCAAGTTAGCAAAAAGTCGAAGTTAGAAAAAGTCGAAGGAGCGGGAACCAGCACCCGCAAGGACTGCGGGACCAACGGTCGACCCGCACGACCAAAGGGCCACTAAGGGGACGGGTAGGAGCGAGGGGACCGCTGAGACCCTTAAAAATCCAGTGGTCCCCCCGACACCCGGAACATCGACCCCGGGGGGGGATGTACGCGGGGACCCGGCGAGAGCCTTGGGGACCCCGCCAATCCCTCAACTGGGGAAGAGAAGAGGGCGCTCCAAGGGACAGGGAGGAAGGCCTGCACTGGCGCGGGGGGGCCCGGCGGGGGCTGCGGGAGGATCTCAACTGACACTCTTGTGGGCCCTGACGGGTACCCCTGGCCGGGACAGGCCAGAGAAGGGCGGCCCTGGCACGCCCAGTAGATCGGAGGGGAACCTTAACCCCAAATAAGGGAGCCTCGATGACCTCTGGTCATACATGGCGGGGAGCGGATAACAAGGTGGGGGTGGTCAGTGCCCCAACCCTTGTCCAATGCTCCCAGATAAACCTGCAACACTGCAAAGCGGCGACGGCTCTCTTGAGTCGCAGCCTAGTGGTGGAGCAGACAGACATATGCCTCATCCAAAAACCCTGGGTGACAGGGGGCATGGTAAGAGGACTTGACCTCAGGGGCAATGAGCTTTTCTTCGCACAGGGGGAACCAGGACCCAGGACTTGCATCTCCGTTAAAAGAGCTTGTAATGCCAGGAGAATGGTAAACTTCTGTCACAGGGACCTTGTCGCGGTGACGGTGGGCCTGCGGGGGGAGAGCGAATACGAAGACATTGTCTTCTGCTCTGCCTACTTTCCGTTTGACTCGGCGTTGCCGCCGCCCATGGGGGAACTGAGGAAGCTGGTTCGCTACTGTAAAAGCAATGGGCTGCCACTCATCGTGGGCTGCGACGCAAACGCGCAGAACGTGGTTTGGGGCAGTGAGAACAACAACGCCAGAGGCATATCCCTCTTGGAATACCTGGCAGACGTGGACCTGGAGATCCTAAACAGGGGATCCAGTCCCACGTTCGTCACTTCTCGCTGCCAATGTGTCATCGCCATTACGTTGTGTGACAGGAGGCTAGCGAAACGGTGCGTTGACTGGAGGGTGGACCGGGAGGACACACCATCCGATCACAGACGCATCAAATTCAGCATTGAAGGCAGAGTCGGGAAGGTGCAGGGTCCCGCACGCAGGAACCCCAGGACTACCGACTGGGCCTCTTTTAAAGAGGAGCTGGAGGC